ACCGGTGAAATGCAGCGTTACCTGAATAAAATGACTGATTTCTCTGAGTTTGAACATTTGGGATTATGTAAGTACAAAACTCAACTACATATAGAACATAGCTCTAGAGTTTATAGACATTTCACGTGGAAAGAACCCCATAACAACAGAACACACTATCATAGTGCTCTAGTCATTCTAATGAAGACCTAAACATATCAAAGCATTTCAAATAAAGAGACCTAGGCCTGATTAGTGACTACCACAGCATTTAAAACAATGCCAGTAAGAGGCAGAAGCAGGGGAGGGTTGTTTGTAGATACTAGAAGCTTTGATTTTCTAATGCAACCTCAGTGTGTGTCAACAGTAGGGAGTAAGGGGATGAAGATTTAGGCCCAGAGAGCTTTTCTGTCTGCTTCCTCAAGCAGCTAAGCAGCTAAGAGGGAGAGGAGAGGATGTAGGGTAAGATTTTATTTTAAAGGCATCTGCCAACTCAGAGTGATAACTGCCATTTCATCTGCGTATGCCACTCATAAATGGTATGTCACTCATGTTCCACTGTGAGATACCACCTCCCACTGGCAAAACAGTCTTATATGCTCATGCTGAGGGATTCTCCACTTTGACTAGAGGTTTGACATATGGAATATCATAACAGCATGTCACTGGTGTCGATAATAAACTGGTGGGAATTGGTGTGTGCCAGTGGATCACCAGAGGAATGCTGTATCATGTGCTATATGAAAGCAGCAGTTTTCCATCATCAGTGTTGCCTTTAATGGCATCCTTTTTATCACTGTCAACTTTTGTCATATCTGTGAAATCTTCACTTAATATTTTGTCATTTTGCACCAATGAGTAAGAGAAATGCCTGTGAAATCCACAATAAATTAATCTAAACTATTTAGCAGTAGAATGCTGTGTATTCAATCATAAATTAAAGAAATTACGTCACTGCTGTAGCCAATTGCAAATTATATAGTGTATAAAATCCTAGTAACCAACAATGTACAGTAGAAAATAACAGTTCTGACAATGTAATGTAAAAAAACAATTATATACTGAAAAAAATCACAGTAAGAATGATGTTCTGTAGAAAATCACTGTAACCATGTAGTGTCAAATCATAGTAACCGATTATGTGGAGTAGGAAATCACAGTCCAGTGGCAGCAGGGTTGCCAGGCAATTACTGTAATTTTTACAGCAACCGTACTGTAGTTCAAGTTGTTATTCACTGTGATTCAAGAATACAGGAAAGCACTATATTTTAAATTCAGTTGCACATTTTCCAGGATAAGTTTGTAATTTATATAGTAGATTACCCAACTGTGGGAATTTTCTGTATTTGGAGGAAGTCATATATAAAAGCTCAGCAACATACCTTAGAATGCTTTTTCAACTGGTGAAACTGGCCTAACTTATTTTTTGTGTAAACAGTTATGCAGTTATTATTATTATTATTATTATTATTATTGTGCTTTCCTGGATCGTGGCTGTGCCTAGATCAGAGGATTGTGACCCCCTAATATTATCATTATCATAATTATTATTCATTATCAATTGACATTATCATGGCTGTTACCATCATTATTATTATTATTACTCATATTTCAACTATTATAGTTGTAACTGTAGTTGCAAATGCCCACCTAGAGCCAGGGTTTGCTTGAGGTTTTTTGCCTTTTAAAATTACGTTTTTTCTTGCCACAGTTGCCAAGTGCTTGCTGATGGTGGGAACTGTTGGGTCTCTGTAAATAGTTTTAAAAGGAGTACAGATTTAGATCTGCTTGATATGAAAAGTGCCAAAAGATAACTTCTATTATGATTTGGCACTATACAAATAAAACTGAACTGAATTATGACAGTGGAACATGACTGACATATCATGTACCATATAAGCACCATAAGCCAGTGACATACAGTACCACTCAGAATCAGCATGACATGTGGCATACTTTCCATCTCAGCAATGCTGTATTATTATCTGACCAGCACACGTACCCACTTGGAGAACCACTGATGTGATGCAACCAGAATATGGCGCAGCCGCATCTCGAGTACATGAGGGGTCACACAGCATCCATAGGGAAAATCAAATAACTGACCTCCCCTCCGGTTCTGAAACACACTCCATGATTTAGTTTTACTCAGTACAGTTGACGGTTAGCAGTCTGTTGAGGTTGCCAAATGATTTGTCTCCATTTTCATCCTTTACAGGTCTAATTTTACTAAGGAGAGATTTTGCATTTATATTGGAATTAAAATCTCCCACATGTGGCAGTTTTCTCCTGTTGTGTTTCTCATCAAACAATCAATAATTCACCCTCCAAAGCAAGAATGTGTGATTTCCTCCTGGGTGTTTAATTGAAGCAGATTCTACAAAGCAGACGTGGTGCAACAATCGGACCAAATCATTGATTCATTCATTTATCTTTCAGGGAAATCATACTAAGCCAGTGACAAATGTATGGGTATGGAGTCTTCCAGTATGATGTAAAGACATAACGTGATATCGTTCCCCACCAAAAAATAAAAAAATAACAAAATAAAAGCATGGGATTAATTATTCGCTGCTCCGAGGTTCCTTCCTGCCCTGGCATTTTGTTCACTGTGGCTTGTTTAGCTTCCAGGCATCTTTAGGCTGGGGCTATTTTTAGAGCAGGCAATTTTCCACCGAGCTTGTTGTAACCGAGGTGAGGGTGTGAGATTCTCTGCTCTTTGTCAGACAACTGAGCACAGGCTCTCTCAGCAGGAAGCTGTGAATTGAATCATCAGATAGGAGTTGTGTATGTTTTGCTGCTAAATGTGTATCTTGATAGAGGAAGCAGCAAGAAAACACAGCAGGCTAGAGTAAATAGAAATAGACATCTGGCTTCATGAATTCTGGAGATGCTTAAACAAAGGTTTCACTCAGATGCAAAAAGAAAGCAGAAAAAGCACTTCAACCAGATACGCCAAATACTCTGGACAGCGTTACGTTCGGCTGAATCAGCCTTATCCTCTCTTTGGCTTCATTGGACACAAACTGGTTTGGTTGCTGTGGACCAAGATGGCTACCAGCCCAACAGATAGGTAGTTGGTGGGCCAGCGTTTGACTAATATTTGTACATTTGTTTAGGGGAAATTCCACTTTTTAACACCTTGGCTCTTATTTTTTGTAGTTTAGTTCATCATTTCTATCAGTCATGAAAAAACTGTACTCCCCAAAGTAGTAGCTGAGATCTGGGAACATAGTGTCAAAAAAATGATCTAAACCACTTTATTTGAAGGTCAAACTTAAAGTGAGAGCACCTGAAATGTGGAATAAACCCTTATTGTACAGGAAAGCAAACTGAGGCTCAACCTTCTGAACTATGATGATATAGTGATAGATATACGTGAGTCTATATACAAGACCTGCATACTACTATATATTTCCTATACTTACATATCTACTAATATATTTCTAAAGAAAACAGCCCATTATCTCCTCTTACTGCCTTAGATCTCAGGGTTGTCTTGATTTGGAGATTCCCAAAATCACTTGACTTCTGCCATCATCAGATATTTCTTTGCTGGCAATGGTTAGATCTGAGTGCAGATCTCTAAACAGACAGTACAGATATGAGGGCAGAGAGAGCAACAAAGGTTCCCGTTCAACTTAAACCAGGGTCATTGTGGTTGATGGGCCCTTCCATTTTGTTGTAATCAGATTTATTCATTTGACATCAAAATGCTGGTTTGATGTCCTTGTTTCATCTTCTTACTATTTGTATTCTTATCTAATAGTTTAGTCTAGTATATAGTCTGTCTTAACGTATAGTCTATATACTTTCTTACTCTACTAATAAAAGTTGAAATACACATGACTATAGTACAGTAGGTCAAACTGAGTGGGTCAGTAAACTGTGAATTTGTCTGTGTATATATGTACATGTAATAAATAAAAAAGATAAACTATACAAGGTTAAAAACTAAAACCAAACTACCTACACTGTTGGTCTTAAATACAGAATAGATTCAAGGCTAAGTAGTTAAAAAAAGTTAAAAAAAAAGTAAGGATTAAAAGACCAGAAGTAGGAATGGGGAAAGTGAGCTGTTATGCCGTGCTGCCACTCTCTGTGGCACCGAAAGTAGTCTACAGACAGTTTGGGTCATAATTTTACTGATCCGTGCACCGTGTTCCCAAATCTCACTAATTAACTCGACTATAAGTCACAATGTTATTGGAACTGATAGGAATGAAGGACGAAAGATTTGTCTCAGTCTGGTCGAGTATTCAGCTCAGCTGTTAAAGTGATGAACACAGTCTTCTGATTACCAAAATAACTGATGGCTAAACTGACAAAAAATAAAACCCAAGTTGCAATAAACCAATTATCCTGACAAGCCGAGATAAATACTTTTACATGTGAAACCACTGGCTGATATCGTGTGGTGTTATTATTATTTAATGCAGTATCAATCACTTCATGTCCATAGAGTTAAGTGTTAAGATCAGAGTTCCAGTGACAGCTGTTTCTTCATATACTGAAAGTGCACAGACCTTATAAAGGGTCTGCTAACTTATGATTGTATCCTAGAATAGTTTCCCCACTACAACATCTGGACCAGATCTGCAAAACAATATCAGCCAGTCGGTCCAATTCAAATGGGGAATTAAAGGTAAGGCAGAAATGTGTCCAGAGATTTGGCAAAGTTCAGGTTTTAAACCACTTTTTTAAACCACTTTTGTTGCCTTTTGTTTCTGAGACGTTGGAACCAGTCAAAGCCCTCCAGCCAGCGCAGGAAGGCCAGGAGACGCCCCTTAATGTAGGAAGACTCTTCGTCTTCATCATCCATCTCCTACAGCAACAGCAGTGCGTGTAGGTGTTATCAAAAATTAGACACTGCTATCTGTTCTGTCTTAGGACTAATAGTTGGTATAGTGCCAGAAAAGAACAAGAACTGTAAAGATGACAGTGAGAGCAAATTCTAACTTTCAGAAACACATTAACTTCTAGTCTATCCATACATTATATAAATGTAAAGTCTGATAACAGGGTTAGAACAATATGGATATCTATGGAGTGTTATAAGGAGCTCGGTCTAGACCTGCTCTATTTGAAAAGTGTCCTGAGATCAACAATCCTTTAATATTAGCAACAAGCTTTTTTATTTTTTTCTATCAGGGACTCTTAGCTAGTGTCCTCTTTTATGCTGTGCATTGGGGGGACTTGGGATTGGCCATCCCAAGTGCCACCCCGTTATCCTTACCTCTTCCAATTCACACTAACCTTCAGAGGCCGTATTAAAGCTAGAGTGAAGATACTGGTATCATAGGACACCAGATGACTTAATTGGCACCAACCTCGTTTGGAAGGGAGCTAAAAAATGCTCCAAAATTGCGCTATATTTTGGCAATGGCATTTTCAAAGAGATCCCTTGACCTCTGTCCTCAAGATATCTGAATGAAAATGGGTTCTATGGCTACCTACATGTCACCCCTTTGCTAACATGCCAACTTTATGCTAACCCCATGGAATAGGCCAAAGCCATGCATTTCTTTTGCATCTGGTATAAATATTATTTTCACCCAGTGTATTTGAATATTTTTGAATACTGGGGTCCATAAACAGTATTGCAATTGCATAAACTGGGAATGACTGAAAAGCTGAGACACATACTTCTTGCCATGGCTGAATGTACATATCTGCTCAATAAATCATTTAATTCAAATAACAGGGGTTCATGAGTGGGTTGTAGGGGGTCCCCAGCAAAAGGAGGAATAGAATATTTTAACTTTTATCACTTTTTTTGGAAGTTGGAACAAGGGAAATAGGGTTAGCTGTTTTTATTGAATTTATAGTGATCCTGGTTTTATCACTGATTATATATATTTATAGTGTTGAGAACACTGACACCAGCACCATGTGTCAAATAGTTTTGAGTGACTGTAGGTGACAACAGTCACTTTACATTTAACGTAACCTTTCCAGGTGTTCTGCTAAATCATCAAATGTCAGTGGAGATTTTATTGTCCTATATCCTATTATTATTCAACCTATCCTACAAAGCAGCTTTGCCAAATATAATTTGTAGGACTCATTATTGCTGGCTCCATTATGTTTATTTGTTCTTTTTTTTCTTTCCGAAGCTTTCCAGGGCTTTGACACCGAATATTGAGGTTCACATCCTTTGTCCTACCCATTAGGTCTTCATGAGTGAATCGATGGCTCATGACACAAGTATGGAACTTCAGTCACTTGAGAATATGACCACCTGTTATGAAGAGGCCGAAGTTCCATACCTAGGATTACAACTGAACCATCTCCTTCACAAAATGCGTAATCTGGGCACCGTTACATCTCTGATTGCTTATCCAAATATTCCAAACCATCCCCTTAGGTCTTATAGTGCAGGCTTGCTAAATGTTCCCAAAAATACTACTACAAAAATGATGGTGGAGCGTCCTTCTGTTTTTACTATATATGTATATATGTATATAATTCTATTTTATCCTGTAAAGCACTTTGAGCTGCATTTTATGTATGAGAGGTGCTCTATAAATAAAGTTGGCACAGGAACATGACATCCTGACTCAAAAAGATTGGCTCAGGTTTTTTTTTATGGGAGAAATAGCTTTCAATACACTAACTAAGGAGGCTGATTGAATCAATGAAGATGTGGGCAGCAAGTCAGAGGTCTGAAATTTTGGAAAATCTGGAATAAATGACTGAATCTGTATGTGTAACCAAACACTCAAATTATTTGCACTAAAATTTTAGAACTGAATATTATAATTGTGGCTACAAATAAAGCCAAAATGGAAGTAACAAAACTGCAGTTCCTCTTCCTCATAAGTAAGTCAAGTCCATAAGGCCATACAGCAGAAATAAACATGTTTACAGCCTGGTACAAAATATTGTTTTGGTCTCTATAGATAATTTCCCTGTTTCATGTCAACTGTACGGGGGGTGACTTGGTATATTACTCACCCGTTTAAAATATATTGAGGCTTAAAGTTATGCATAATTAAGCATTAAGGCTAGAATAAGGGTTATGGCCACTTTGAGTCACAAGTGGGTGCCATCACGGAGTCTATGTTTATTGCTATGATTTCTATGATATTACCATTACTAGCCTTATGAGCATTGAAAGAACCATATTGGTCTAAAGCTGATATACAGACACACAGTACTGCAGCATGAAAACGTGATCAGACTTTTTTCAGGGCATATAAAGGTGTGTATTCTGAGTGCAGGTGTGTTGTGCTGACCTGTGAAGCGATGTACTTCTCCAGAGGACTCTCCATTCGGCCCATGTTAAGCATGGCTGTGTTGGGCCGCTGATCCACTGGTGACTCCTCGCTCAGCAGCAACTTGCCTTTGAAGTTATGGACCACACACACCACCTACAACACACACACACAGCAAACTTAATACACACATAAATAAAAATGAACCCACAGCCTAGTGATACACACACACACACACAGGACACAGATGTGTGTGTAAATGAATTTCAAGGACTGATAGAGATTCCTGAGTGGTTGCTTGGATTAACAGAGTAACCCAAGTATGTAGGTCACATATGTGTGTATTGACTTTTTCCTGAGGGTACTACTGTAGCTATGATGGATGTGGGTGTTGCATGAGCTGCTCTAATAGGGAGCAAAACTTGGCTTTGAGGTTCAAAATGAAATAACCAATTTCAAGTTGGCTGAGCAGAGAAGAGATGCACAGAAAGTCTGAGGACTGGAGTACTCTGCAGTCTATCGTATCCTACAGAGCAGTGCAACCTCAGTAGCACAAAATAAAAGAA